GAACTGCGCATGTGGCGTTGCTTCAATAAGTATCATGTGTTCTTTTGACTTATAAGGTTACTTACATTGCTTTTCGTGCAGTACAATGATTTTCTTGATTCTTATTGGATACAATGATCCATCCCCGTACTGCTTGTTTACATCTTTGATTTTGCTAATCATTCCTTCCCGTGTTTTTCGTGTCGATTTTTCTCCTTATATGTTTAACTTGCTTCCTCAAACTTTCTCAAGTATTTAAAGATAAGTTCATAGTTGTCTTTTTGTAATAATTCATTTTTTATTACTAACTATGTCCTCTCGCTCAATTACTCCTTTAAGTGATGTTCCTTTGTCCCGTCGTGTTGTAATTACTAATTCTAGGGGTAGAATTATTTCTGTTGTCTCAGAGAACTTTCTCGGTGATGGTACTTCTTCCCCTGCTTCTTCGGGTACTGAATATATTCCTTCCTCTGAACCCCCTGAAGATGCCCAGTCTGAGGTTCCTTCTGAAGTTTCTACTATAGAAGCTTCATCATTCTCTACCCATGTTGCTCCTAGAGGTCGTAAGGATATCTTGTATCCTTCAAGGTAATGATTGTTCTCTTTCTCAAGAGTTCTATTCCATAATCTTCACTTATTGCATTCACTTGAGTGCCTTCGCTTTACATACATTCCTTTTCTTTTCCTCTTCTTTAATAAATCTGTTTTTCTGTTCTCGCAAGTTCATCTCATGTGAGGTGGATAGAGTTCGCTTTTTTGTCTGGTACGTCGTTATGCTCAGGCATCTAAGCAATTTGGATCAGATATAATCATGAAGGAGTGATTATGCAACTGGCAGACTTTAATTAGTCATACAATATCATTTGTTCGCTATTTTCTTAAGGAAATGTTATTGGCCAGAGATCAAACTCGTTTTCCTTCTTTTAGCAATAATTACTTTAACTTATTTTCCTTTACAGGTTACCTATTCCTTCTCAAGTTGTTTTTTCTTCAAGACTTTTCCTTTGTCCTAGTTGTGTCGGTCGCTTTGCTGAAACTGATCGACTTAGAGAAATTATTGAAAGTGGTTCTTCCGGTTCTCATTGTAGAAGATGTTGGTTTGACAATGAGACTTTTAGAGTTATAAGGACGATGATCTGTGGTGTTCTTCCTAATCCTCCAGAGAACCGTTCAGCTTCTAATTATGTTGAGATGTTGTGCGACAGAGTTCGTGATCTTGAATTAGAAATTTCCTTTCTTAAAGAACAACTTTCCAAATCATAATAAAATTATTGGTGTTTTCGTTATCATCTGTTCCTTTTTTGTTTTGTCTATACGAATTCTATATTTGGTGATGATCGTTAAATCTTCTCATCTATTTAATTGGAGATATTGTTTTTTCATTTATCATTATCTAAAATGTCTTCTTGACTCTTTATCAACGTCTCTTTTCTTCTTTTTTATTTACGGTTATTTCTCTTGCAGCTCTATCTTGGATTTACTTAAATCTCTTGAAGATGATCTCGTTCAGTCTAACCATCTTCCAGTCAGTATTCAAGAATCTATCCTTAATATTTGGACTTATCTCAGATGTCTTGAAGTCACAGATAGTTCTTCTATTGTTACTTCGGTTCAAGAAGTCGTCCGGAGTCATTTTCCATTATTTCCTCTGAATCATCCGCTTTCTTCGATGATTGATTACCTATGTCTCTCTTTTACAAATTCTTATGATATTATGCATAAAGAGCTTATTAAACTTCAAAATATCATTTCTACTCTTCGTTCAGAGAATTCTTCTCTTAGAGAGGAAAATCAATCTCTTCATAATATCATTAGAGATCTTAAATCTCAAAATATTATTCTTTCGTCAGAGAATTCTGCCTTTCGTGAAGAAAATAAATCTTTCCGTGATCTTATTGGTAGTTATAAAAGTTCTTAGATGTTCTTCTTTTTTCTTGGTCAGATCTTTAGATTTTATTCTTTAACCTTCTTTTTGATCTTATTGGTATTTCAATTATTTCCTTTTTCTTTTGTTATTGTTGTATTCTTCTATATGTTTCTACAAGTTTGTGTTCTGTCAAGTGTTAATAAAAGATCTTGATATTCTTTACATTATTCCCAAAAATGTCTTATATTACTATCTCATCTGGTTCTTCTACTCCAAACGGTTCTCCTACTCCTGAAGATTCAACAAATGCCCCCATCAAAGATCTTAATACAGCTTTAATTACTCTTTCTGGTGTCCAAGATTCTCTTCGAATACTTTCTTGTCAGGCTTCTTGGAGTGAAACTCGTCGTGATCATCTTGAAGGCATCCTAGGTTCTGCTCGCTCCTTTATTGATGCTACTTTTCCACATGTTCCTTTTATGCGGAATAATCCTCTTCATATTGCCGTCAGAGATCTTTGTCATTTTTACACAAACTATTATATGAGAACTCTTCAACTTGAAGCAGAAAATACTCGTCTCAGAGAAGAAGTTAATTCTCTTACTCGTATTAAACTTGAGCTTGA